GCTGTATTTGTTTAATGCAGGCAGTACTGGAGAGGCTTGCTGTGTTAGTAAACAGTTGTATTTTTCTGATGCAGGCAGTACTTGAGAGGCTTTCTGTGTTAGTAAACAGTTGTATTTGTTTAATGCAGGCAGTACTGGAGAGTTTTGCTGTGTTAGTAAATAGCTGTATTTGTTTAATGCAGGCAGTACTGGAGAGGCTTGCTGTGTTAGTAAACAGTTGTATTTGTTTAATGCAGGCAGTACTGGAGAGGCTTGCTGTGTTAGTAAACAGTTGCATTTGTTTAATGCAGGCAGTACTGGAGAGTTTTGCTGTGTTAGTAAAGAGTTGTATTTGTTTTATGCAGGCAGTACTGGAGAGGCTTGCTGTTTTAGTAAACAGTTGTATTTGTTTAATGCAGGCAGTACTGGAGAGTTTTGCTGTGTTAGTAAATAGCTGTATTTGTTTAATGCAGGCAGTACTGAAGAGTTTTTGCTGTGTTAGTGTCACTTCTATTTCTTTGAGAGTGTATCTGTTGTAGAATTTTATTGTTCTAAGAACAAACAAAAGGAAGATGAAGTTGTCATCTTAGTGAATTTGTTGTTATTTTATTTCATACTGAAGTAAAAGAGGTTTATGCTTTATAATAAAATTAATTTTTTAATTAGCTATTAGTAAAGTTTTACTTTTACACTACGCTTAAACTGGACACAACACTCTCAAAAAGGTTATATTAGATGTGAAATATAGAAACACCTGTAAAGGATAAAACACCTAGTAACAAAGAACCATATTGTTACGACAGCGGAAGTCACGCGATGCTGGGAGCATGCGTGCTGGAGTTTCTAGAAGGATCAGGGAACCTCATGAATATCCCAGTATTTGCTAGATGCCCTCTTTTTTTATTATATAAGCCTGAGATAGATTGAAGAGAGATAATTGATAATTGATTCAAGTGAACAGTAGGCACTATAAGTAAAGTGTGTTAATTGCTGTAAATTATAGCGTGTGTTTATAAAAGTAGT